CTCACCTCTACCCAGGTCTCCCAGTTCATACATCCCTCTTTTAAGGTCACTTGAACAATTTTGCCCTAAGACTGCCAGGCCTGTACACCCACCTTTCACAGCCTTCTTGGCCTTTCTGGGCATTGTGTCTCTCACTGTGTGCTGCTGCCTTCTGAGTTGCTATGTGCCCATGCTCAGCACCCCTATGGCTTCTGGACTTCCAGCCTTTCCTTCACTCTGCTCCGGGCAGGCTCCTCCTCCCACCAGCTCCGAGGGCCTTCCATGTCTGTGCCCTCTGCACCACGCTGAAGCCTGATGATCTGGCCTTGTTAAGGGTCCAGTGCTCAGCTAGGGCTCCTAAAATGGGCATCATCAAACTACAGTGCCATTGACCCCGGGGATCAGTCGTGCCACATGACACAGCTGAAGGGGCCGAGAACGCATCGCTCAGAGAATGTTATTACATAGATACTATTTATAAAATATGCATATATATTGTGCTAGGCACTGGGCTAAGTGCTTTTAATTTTCATGTAATCCTTACAGCAACCGTGCGTCCTATTTTCACACATTGTGGACGTCGGTGGTCTCAGAGAGGTTGGGTGGCTTTCCCCAAGTCACCAAGCTAGGAAGTAGCAGATTTATGACTCCTGTTTACACTCTTTGATTCTGAAGCTTGCAGTTTTAGCCACAACATAATTCCTTACAGAACACGGAGAGCTCTTTACAATCGGTACAGAGGGCAAATCTCAAAGGAACGGTATTTTAGGTCACTTTAAAGAAGAGTTTTTAGTAATTCAAGCCCTTCAGCACCACCCCACTCTGAGAAGTACTCTGGGCCTCTCATTAGCAGCTCACCAGACAAGGACTAGTGCTGACTGAGCAGAAACATAGTAAAAGGCGTTTAGAATAAGTGGAACTCACAAGTAGCATTCTGGGCCTTTCCAATTCAAGATTCTTCTGAATGTAATTTCCTCTCTTGAGGACATTTTTTGCCAATTTACTCCCATATGACTACTTTCAAAATTTTCCCATGTAATTCATAGACTATTTTGTCGCAGGTAAAACCAGAATGCAATTTATTCATTATTCCAATTGGCATAAGCAAGGCATACTCTACTTGTAGGTGAGCCTGTATAGGAATCCACCTCATGTTTCACAGAGGAATAAAATATTGCCTGGATCATGGAACCTCAAAAATGATTTTTAAAAGTATTTTAAGCCGAAACCAGTTTGGCTCAGTGGATAGAGCGTCGGCCTGCGGACTCAAGGGTCCCGGGTTAGATTCCGGTCAAGGGCATGTACCTTGGTTGTGGGCACATCCCTGGTAGGGGGTGTGCAAGAGGCAGCTAATCAATGACTCTCTCATCGATGTTTCTAACTCTCTATCTCTCTCCCTTCATCTCTGTAAAATATCAATAAAAAATATATTTTAAAAAAAGTATTTTAAGCATTTGGCAGACTTTAATGTTGTTAGATATTAATGATCAAAGAAACCCAGGAGAGGAAGAATAGAATATTATTAGATTTAAAGTTAATAATGATCCCTTAAATAATTGAGTATGCTATTATCATTTTAATATAATCCTTAGAGTTATATTGTATCCTTTAATTATTTCTGATATACTTCACATGTGCCAGGTAATAAGTAGCATTTTTAAAAATCTTCATCCGAGGATATGTTTTTATTGATGAGATAGATGGAGATAGAGACAGAGATAGAATCATTGATAGGTTGCCTCCCATACTCACCCTGATTAGAGATTGAACCCAAAACCTAGGTATCTGAGAATCAAACCTGCATGGGCTCTCCAAGAGAGCTACACAGCCAGGGCATGAGAAGCATTTTTTTTACAAGTGCATTTTTTCTTTGTGTGTGTTTTTAAAATATATTTTTTATTTATTTCATAAAGGAAGGAAGAGGGGGAAAGAGGTAGAAACGCCAATGATGATAGAGACATGGGTTGGCAGTCTCCTGTACTCCCCAACCTGGGAATTGAGCCTGCAACCTGGACATATGCCCTGGCTGGGAATCAAATCATGACCTCCTGATTCATAGGTTGATGCTCAACCACTGAGCTATACTGGCCAGGCATGTTTCTCTGTTTTGAAGGAAAATGCACTGGATATCCTGAAGTCCAAGTTTTGATATTTACATTTTCAAAAAATGTGCTGAGTTTCAATATATATCTTCTTTTTAACATTTATTTGCCCATCCTTTATTCCTCAACTACTCCTGATTGGGGCATTCCTCCTATCCCCAACTCACAAAGTGGATGTGCAAGAGGTTGGAAGAGAATGCACACATAATTTAAGGGGCCTAACATCGACAGATGCTTCCATGGAGATAGTTGTAAATTATGACTTTAGAGAAGTTTGTATTCTTAAAATAATTAGCACCCTCGATAGGCTTTAGAGAAGAAATACTGTGCAAAGGAATAACGTGGCATATAGGAAGTCAAAACTGGGCTAAAGAGAACTGAAAAGAGTTGGTGATAGGAGCAGGTGGAATCTGTATTTCAGAGAACTGGATGGGGTGGATTCAGGAACTGAAACATGAGGGGGTGTCTAGCCCGGGGATCAGGAAGGAAGGTTCCACTTGGTGTATGAGTCTTGAAGAATTCTAGGCAAGCAAAGAATAAGCAGGAAATGGTGCTTGGGGAATGCTGAGCAGTCTGGTTCACAGTGCAGTTCAAGAAGAGTGAAAGCAAAGTTACAAATAAAGGTAAGTCTGGGGATCTATTGTGAAGACTTAGATATCAGAGTGAACAGTCTGTAACCAGCCTGTGTGGGGATGAGATTCTATTTCCTGTTCTCCCAGGAGGTTAGTATTTTTAATGAACTATTCCATGTATTTATGTCCTGTCTCTCCCCTACAGGGTAAGATCCTTGGTCATATTTATTTTGATTTATAGCACTAATGCTAAACAGATTCTAGGTTTATTAAATATGTTGATTATTGACTGTATATGGCATAATATCTATTTATGGCACTAATATTATGTAATATTAGGAAAGTTTGTTCTTGCATCATATATGATGTTAGTGTTGTACATGATTTCTGTGAGTTGTTTTAAGAGTACATTTGCTTAAAGCAGATTATTAAAATGTCTCTTTTCTAGATCATTTCAATTTGAGCAGATAATTAATATGTGGTCCAATCAGGACCCCCATTGCAAGTATTGAGCCAGCCACAGGCCCTTCCTTGAAGCTGCATGGCCCTCAGCAATCATTTCCCCTTCTTCCTTCCCCTTCATTATACAGATGAAGAAACCAAGCTCAGTGCAGAGTCACACACAACCAGTTAAGGGCAATGCCAGGGTTAACCTCAGGTCTCTGCTATCTTTCTACCACACAACCCTTCTTATCTGAAATAAGTGACCAATAAATGCAAAACATTTGAAGTATAATACACATTTACAATTTAAATATTCATTGGACACATCAATGTGGATCAGACTGTACTGTAATTCAGATTAACAGTAGTCATACTTTTAGTTGTTATGTTAAGTCACGTGCAAAGTTTCTGATAAATCAGTTAACTTATTACAAGTGATCCTCCCTAATTTTTTCTTACAAGACCTATGGCGGTAATGGGAATAACACAAGGACACTTCACTATGAGAACATTGCCTCTCCAGCAGATAGCTTTTTTTTTCTTTCTTGGTCTGTAATCCAATCCTATCTACAAAAAGAGTAATATACAAATTGAGCATCACTCCAACACACAAGATGGCTATCCCATGTAGTCAAAGATGGACACCCACATGTGAACACAAGATGGCTGCCTCCAAAATGGCCACCACAAGATGACCAGCAGGGGAGGGCAGTTTGGGGGGACCTAGACCTGCAGGGGAGGGCAGTTGGGGGCTACCAGACCTGCAAGGGAGGGCAGTTGGAGGCTCCCAGGCTGCAGGGGAAGGCAGTTGGGGGTGATCAGGCTGGCAAGGGAAGGCAGATAGGTGTGACTGGGCCAGCAGGAGAGGGCAGTTGGGGATGACCATTTCTGCAGGGGAAGATAGATAGGGGTGACCAAGCTGGCAGGGGAGGACAGTTAGGAATGACCAGGTGGGAGGGGAGGGCAGTTAGGTGCAATTGGACTGGCAGGGGAGCAGTTAGGCGTCGATCAGGATGGCAGGGAGTGGTTAGTAGGTGATCAGGCTGGCAGACAGAAGCTGTTAGGGGCAATCAGGAAGGCAGGCAGGTGAGCAGATGGGAGCAAGAAGTCCTGGATTGTGAGAGAAATACCAGATTGGAGAGGGTACAGGTTGGGCTGAGGGACACACATATCCCACCCCTCAACCCCCTCCCTACAAATTTCGTGCATTAGGCCTCTAGTTTATAATAATTTGGTCACTGGACCATCCTGGAGAAGAAAGGCCCTAGCATTTGGAGGTCCATAAACAGTCCTATATTGCACTGACAGCATATCCTATGGAGGGGTAGTTTCCAAGCTAAAATATATATAAGTAGTACCACTAACAGTGATAGCAGGCACCAGGACTCTGTTGCACAGGTGCTATTTCCATACTTATAACTCTGGGACCTTCTCTGGGGAAGAGGCTGGTCAGACTTATCGCCATAACCCAAGCACGTGCTATGTGCTCAAGGCTGATGGAAAGTGGCTGGCACAATTCAGGCGTTCGAGGGACTTTTGGAAAAGCGGCATGCCTGAAAAGAGAGTTTTCTGGCTTCCAATTATTTTGAGGCAAAAGGCAAATTTTGCCCATCCACTGAGCTCCACATTTCTTCCTTCCAGGCCCATCTTGAACACACCTTAGAAGGTGACAAATCGTACATGAGGCCACTGAGTGGCTGCTATTCACTTTGTAACCCTGTGGACCCCTGTCAGTCCCAGGCCCCAGCTGCCTGGTGAAGCCCTGAGTGTGAGCTGCAGGAAGGGGCGGAACCGAAAAGCCGAGGAACCTGAGGCCAGGGCGCGGCGCCGGAGGAGGGAGAAGTTGGGGACCGGAAGGCCTAGTTCCCAGGAGGCGGCGGCGGCGGCGGCGGTGGCCGCGGGAATGGAACCCCTGCGGGTGCTGGAGCTGTACAGCGGCGTGGGGGGCATGCACCAGGCGCTGAGAGGTGAGAGCGCACAGGGCACCTCCATTTCCTCTGGGCGCTGCTCGGAGCTCGGCGAGGGGCGGAGCAGCGAGGCGCCGGGGGCGGGGACGCGGGGCCTTGGTTGTCCTGGAAACAGCGCCTGCGGGCCGCCCCTCCAGCCCTCTGCGGAGACACTTCTTCCTGTCCCGGGCCTCAGAGAGCTCAGTTCCTGGTCCCGATCTTCAAGGCCAGGCGCTGATCATACTGCAGGGCGCCGCCAGGGCGGGAGGGGCGGGCCCCGGCCACTGCCGATGCCCCGGCCCCAGGTGGCCGCGCCGCGCGGCGTGGGAAGAGGGTCCCGCCCCAGGAAGTCCCAGGGGGAGAAGGGGGGAAGTCGCTGGTCTGTTGGGGTCTCCCTGGTGACCCCGGGCTCCAAGGGGTCACTGCCATCCACGTCCAAACAGTGACCCCCAGAGCTGGTCCCTGCCCATCACTGAGAAGCAGCATCCTTCGCGGTGCACCAGGTCCAGGTGCACTTAGGCGGGGGAGGGGCTGAGTTCAAACTCCGTTGCTGTGTGACTCTGGGCTAGTTCTTTATTTTAAACTTTTTTTAATTTTTATTGTTTGAAACATTACAAATAGTACATATGTCGCCTTTACCCTCCCTCCCCTCATATGCCTTCACCTGTGTCCCCCCCCCCCATGTCTTATATCCATTGATTATGTTTATATGCATGTATACAAGTCCTTCGGTTGATCTCTTGCAGACCATTTTTGAACCTGTTTTCTGGCTTTAAAATGTGAAAAGCAATTCTTTCAGAGAGGGATTAATGTGAGGCGTGGAGACCGGAAGCATGTGGTTTAATAATGCCCGGTAGATTGTAGCCACTTAAAAATGTTATCAATCACTATCAGCACTATAGCTTTTATGCACCTCTTTCAGTTGGACATTTTAAACATTCTTCGGTGCTAAGTTGGAACTGAGTTTATTTTTGGTGATTTTCACCCAAAAAAGATGGATTGAGCAAGCCCCTGTTCTGTGCCAGGTACTGTGCGAGACACCGGGGACAGTGACAGACAGACTTTGTGCATGTTTATACTGAGGTTACTAAGACAACCACAAAACTGAAACTCGCCTGCTTCCTTTTTTAGTACCAAGGGTAACAAGAGACTGAATAGCGTAAGATACAAACAATGTGTAATGAGTTGAGCATGTAAGTTTTCTGAAAATATGTATTGAGTTTTGGTTTTAGCCTAGGTTTTTGTTAAAATTTTGTTACCAATTATTTGCTAGCTCTCCCCTGTTCAGTTGTCATGTCAAAACTTACCAGAATGGGGGACCCTTTCCCCCTCCCTAAGTGGGAGTCCATTCTGTGGGACTCTCTCCCTCTCCCCATGTGGGAGTCTGTACTTGTTCTTCAATAAATTTCCATCTTTGCTATTGAAAACAAACAAAAACAAACAAACAAACAAAACAACTTACCAGCATGAAAACAAAACTCCAGTTAATTTTCCCTTAGATCTTGAAACGTGATTTTAAATGTTGCTTAGCACTTTACCACTCCTTAAGTGTTGGATGTTGCAAGTATAAATGTGCTAGTTGTATCCTGGAGCATAAATCCTGATTTTTCTCTTAAAGCATGTTTTCTAAAAGTTCAATTAATTCATTCAACAATAAAATATTGATTTTGTGTCAGTTACTAAGTCAAAAATTATGAGAATATTTTTGATGCTTTTGATAATAATAGCTAATTGCTTTTCAGAAGTTTATAAAGTACATAGTCTTAACTACCTAGTCTTCAGGACTTGTATTATCCAGTTTTAACTTTTGCTAATTTGATAGGGGCAATTGCATGATTTTAATTTTTTTGTTAATGAAACAGTTACATATTTTCTCTCCTGTTAGCCAATGTAACCTGAATTTGTACACATATTTATTCCTATTATCACTGCTACCGCTGTGAATCTAAGCTATACTTTCTCTTAATTGAAATATTAATTTCCTAATTGCCCCCCTGTTTCCACTCTGCTTTCTCACTCCATCCTTTCTCTACATAGTAGCAGAATGGTCTTTTTGCACAGCAAACTGGATCATGTCACTTCCTTGCTTAACTGGCTTCCATTTGAGGTTAGAATCACAGTCCCATATTCTTACTAGGCCTGTGATATCTGGCTTATCTCTGCCTCTGGTTCTCTTTTTCAGGCACAGTAGTCTTTTTGTCTGTATTCCTCCAACCCTCACGTTCCTGCTACATTCTGGCCTTTGCTATAGTCTCTACCACAGTGCTTTAACCCCAGATTTCCAAAGCAGATGCATTTCATTTTTCATGTCTTGGTTCATATGTGGCCTCTTCAGAGTAGCTTTCCTTGGCTGACTCTGTGTTCCAGAGCCTTCCCACTGCCTCTGTGCTGAATTAATGTTTTATAACATGAGGCTACTTGACTATTTCAGCTATATTCTTCCATCATTTATAATGAAAATGTTCATAAATCTAATTGGATCTTCTCATAGGGAAAATGACTGGGGGTTGACTTTTATTCTAGTTGTTTTGTATTTGGATACACACATACAGTGTGTGTGAATGTGTGTGTGTGTAGTGTGAATAAGAAAAATGTTGGGAAGGTGCACATTATCCTCTTACCAATATTAACTCATTGAGAGTGGATTAGGGAGGATGGTCTCCTTGTTACCAGTAAACAAGTAAACACACCAGAACACCTGAGCCTCAGGGCCATTGTACTTGCTGTTCCCCCTGTCTGGAATGCTGTCCCTAGATAGCCACATGAGTAGTCCCTTGTCTTTATTTTTTTTACTTTATTTTTATTGTTGACATTATTACAGATGTCCCCATTTCCCTCCCACTCCTTTACCCACCTCTACCCAGACCCTGCCCCCCTTCCCTCTGTCCATCATGACATTGCTGTCTGTGTCCATGGGTCACACACATATGTTCTTTGGTAAATCCCTTCACCTTTTATCCAGTCCACCCTCCCTCTCCCCTCTGACAGCTCTCAGTCGTTCTATGTACTCATGCCTCTGTTTCTATTTAGTACATCTGTTTATTTTGTTCATTAGATCCCACATATAAGTCTTTCTCTGATGGCTTATTTCACTTAGCATAATTATCTCCATGTCCATTCATGCTGTCACAAAAGGTAAGCTTGTCTTCTTTTTTATGGCCATGGAGTTTTCCATTGTTGTCTTCAGGATCATCTTCTCCGGCCACTATAGAAAACGGCAGTATCTGCCCATTCTGCCTATCCCCCTTTCTCTTTTATTTTCCTCTTAGCACGTAGTGCTGCCTATTACACTATGTATTTTACTTGTTTATGATTTTATTCAACTGCCTCCCCTTCTAAAATGTAACCTCCTTGAGGGTGGAGATATTTTTGTTTGTTTTGGGTGGGATTTGTTTATTTCCCATGTTGTTCACTGCTATATTCTTAGCACCTAGAATAGTGATTGTTGCATAGTGGGAGCTCAATAAATATTTGTTGAATGAGTACATTAGTTATAGAGCAGGGACATTTTAAAAGTTGATAATATTGTCAACTTATATTTTAAAAGGGTATATCCAATAAACTGTGTTGTCATAAGTATGCTAATATAACATTTAAATGGAAATAATTTATTAGGAGAAATTATTTTAACTTTTTGATTACTAATGAAGTTGAATATTTAAAAATGCCATTTTACATTTATATTCTTTTTGTCTTCTATGACACATTTAGAAAGGGAACCTTGGTACACAGCTGGTGGGAATGCAGACTGGTACAGCCACTGTGGAAAACAGTATGGAGTTTCCTCAAAAAATTAAAAATTGAACTCCCATTTGACCCAATGATCTCATTTCTAGAAATATATCTTAAGAAACCTGAAACACCAATCAGAAAGAATATATGCACCTCTATGTTCATAGCATATATTTGCAATTGCTAAGATCTGGAAACAGCCCAAGTGCCCATGGGTTAGTTGGATAAAAAAAGTTGTGGTACATTGTGTAAATTTTACACAATAGAATTCTATACAGTATTAAAAAAGGAGTTCTTACCATTTGCAATAGAATGGATGGACCTGGAAAGTATTATGCTAAGTGAAATAAGCCAGTCAGAGAAAGACATGTATCACATGATCTCACTCATATGTGGAATCTAATGAACAAAATAGATCTAGAGGCATAGAAGCATGAAACAGACTGATGAATTTCAGAAGGAAGGCAGGGTCGGGGGTGGGGTGGGGAGACTTATGTGCATAGCCCGTGGACACAGACGATAGTGTGGTGAAGGCCTGGAAGGGACAGGTGTGGGGTGGAGGGAGACAATGGGAAAAAAAACTCCAAACAAACGAGACATTTGTAATATTTCAGCAATAAAGATAAATTAGAAAACAATAAATTGGGAAATATTGAAAACATACATTTATTCATCCAGCATGTTATTATTGAATGGTTTCTATGTCAGTTACTGTGCTGGGGATGCAGCATTAACAGGACAGTTATGTTCTTTTCATCTAGAGAGTACGGTTTACTGGGAAATACTGATGCTATACAGGTAAAAAAGGAATTTAAAAATAAAAATCATATATGATGCTCATGTAAGAATAAACCTATTGAGGACTTAGACTGTATCTTTTCAATATTAATTCTACACATACCCAGGAATATTATAATAAATTATAGCTTTCTGTTCTCACTTGAAATATCTTGAATTTTTTCAAAGCCAGAAGTGTAACATCTTCTAGTCTTTGTCTCTGACTTCTCCTTCCCTCATTACATCTACTTCTCTGACTTTAATCCTTGTCCATCCTTCTTGTGATTACATTATGCCTATCTGTGTAACTCAGGAAAATCTCTTTTTAGGATCCTTAATCATATCTGCAAAGTCCCTATTGTCATTTAAGTTCTGCCTACCACATCTAAGGATATGTGCCCAAATATAGACTTATAAGTCTAAAAAATGTGGTACTTGAATCATCTCAGCACCGCATCACAATTATAACTAAATAACAGAGCAACTATTATTCAGACCCATCTGAAATCTAG